AAACCAAACTGCTGTGACGTATTTCCTGTATTTTTGAAGTATTGATTACAGCGTTTAGAATGTGTTAAATAAAAAGTCATGAAAGAGTTAAGGAGGATAAAAGGCGTGTTTAGATATATTACATTACATTACATTACATTACATTGCATTTAGCTGACGCTTTTATCCAAAGCGACTTACAATAAGTACATTCGACCAGGAAGACACAACCTTGAAGAAAACAGAATCATATAAGTATATCAGGTTTCATAGAGCCAAACATTTCAAGTGCTACTCAACTGGCTTTAGATAATCCAGTCCTTTATTAGTATAAAAGTGCTTCGTTAATCGTTCTAACGCTCGAAGTGGAGTCGAAAGAGATGAGTTTTCAGTTTGCGCCGGAAGATGTGCAAGCTATCTGCCGTCCTGATGTCAATGGGGAGCTCATTCCACCATCTTGGAGCCAGGACAGCAAACCCACGTGTTTTCACCAATGGGAACTTGGGTCCCCCTCGCAGCGAGGGCGCAACGAGTCGTTTGGCTGATGCAGAGCGTAGTGCACGCGCTGGAGTGTACGGTTTAACCATGTCCTGGATGTAGGAAGGGCCAGATCCATTCGCAGCACGGTAAGCAAGTACCAGTGTCTTGAAGTGGATTCTAGCAGTTACCGGAAGCCAGTGAAGGGAGCGGAGGAGCGGAGTGGTGTGGGAGAATTTAGGAAGGTTGAAAACCAGACGAGCCGCTGCATTCTGGATGAGCTGCAGAGGTCGGATGGCACATGCAGGTAGACCAGCCAGGAGGGAGTTGCAGTAGTCTAGGCGTGAGATGACGAGAGCCTGGACCAGAACCTGAGTCGCTTTCTGAGTCAGCTGGGGACGTATCTTCCTGATGTTGTAAAGCGTGTATCTGCAGCAACGGGTTGTAGCAGCGATGTTTGCAGTGAAGGACAGGTTGTTATCTAGGGTCACACCCAGATTCCTTGCAGTCTGAGTCGGGGAAACAACTGAGGTGCCGATGTTGATTGTCAGGTCAAGAATTGGACAATCTTTTCCCGGGAGGAAGAGCAGCTCAGTCTTGTCAAGGTTGAGCTTGAGGTGGTGAGCAGACATCCACTGAGAGATGTCAGCTAGACAAGCAGAGATGCGTGCGACGACCTGGGTCTCTGAGCGGGGAAAGGACAGAATTAATTGGGTGTCGTCAGCGTAGCAGTGGTAAGAAAAACCATGCGGGCTAATGACTGATCCGAGCGAGTTTGTGTACAAGGAGAAGAGGAGGGGACCAAGAACAGAGCCCTGAGGGACCCCCGTAGTTAATTGACAAGGGTTGGACTCAGACCCTCTCCAAGTCACCCTGTAGGTACGGTCTTTCAGGTATGAGGTGAGGAGGGAAAGTGCAGAGCCTGAAACTCCAAGTTTTTGGAGAGTGCGAAGGAGGATCTGATGATTCACCGTGTCGAATGCAGCAGACAGGTCCAACAGGATGATGACAGAGGAGAGGGATGCAGTTTTGGCAGTGTGCAGTTCCTCCGTGACAGCAATGAGAGCAGTTTCTGTGGAGTGACCTGCCTTGAAACCAGACTGGTGCGGATCCAGAAGGTTGTTCTGATTGAGATAACAGGAGAGTTGTTTAAAGACAGCGCGTTCAAGTGATTTAGACAGGAACGGGAGGAGAGAGACAGGCCTGTAGTTTATAACATCAGACGGGTTGAGAGTGGGTTTCTTTAGGAGAGGGTTTACTCTTGCCTCCTTGAGACTGTTTGGAAAGTGACCAGAAGTTAGAGAAGTGTTGATGAAATGGGTGAGAAACGGTAGAATATCAGGAGCGATAGTCTGAAGGAGGTTTGAAGGGATAGGGTCCAGAGGACAGGTGGTAGGGCGGGCAGAGGTAATGAGGGTAAGAACCTCACTTGGAGAGAGAGGGGAAAAGGAGGTTAGTGTGTTGGTGGAAGGAAGGTCTGGTGACCCAGCGGTGAGTAAAGGTGAGTCAGAAAAAGAAGAGCGAATATCATTAACCTTTTTTTCAAAGTGGGTAACAAAGTCGCTTGACAGAAGTGAGGAGGGGGGAGGAGCTTTTGGAGGGTCCAAGAGGGTGGAGAAGATGGAAAATAGTTTTTTAGGATTGGAATAGGAAGATTGGATCTTATCTTGAAAGAAAGTGCTTTTTGCCTGAGAGATTGAAGCAGAGAAAGAGGAGAGGAGAGCTTGATAGGTTAGGAGGTCGTCACGGTGTTTGGATTTCCACCATTTCCGCTCTGCTGCCCTAAGGACGGTTCTATTAGCACGCAGTGCATCATTTAGCCAGGGAGCCGGAGGGGACTGACGAGCCTGCCGAGATGTCAGAGGACAGAGCGAGTCCAGAGTGGATGAGAGAGTAGAGAGGAGAGTTTCTGCAGCAGAGTTTGGAGGCAGTAGTTGGAACGAATCAGAGGAAGGGAGGGCTGAGAGCACCGACGAGGCAAAGGTAGAAGGAGAAAGGGAGCGAAGGTTACGGCGGACAAGTGTAGGATGGGAAGAGATTAGTTTGTTATGTTTGGAAAGGGATAGAAAGAATGAAATGAAGAAGTGATTGGATGTGTGGAGCGGGTTTACAGAGAGGTTAGAAGTAGCGCAGTTCCTTGAGAATATGAGATCAAAGACATTGCCAGCTTTATGAGTCGGTGGGGACGGAGAGAGTGAGAAAGCAAAGGCGGTTAACAGAGATGTTAGTTCATCTATCTTCCCCATCTGGAGGTTGAAGTCTCAGAGAAGTACAGCGGGAGGGCCAGTTTCAGGGATGTGTGAGAGGAGATGATCTAATTCCTCCAAGAAGTCCCCCAAGGCGCCTGGTGGACGGTAGAGAAATATATATTGAATGTACAATGTCTGTATCCTCTGATATGCATAACAAACGGACATTGAAACGTGGTGAGCCGGCCCGCAGGGAGGAGCCAGCAGAGGATATATAAACAGCGAGACCTGAGGGGTTTGGCCTCTTTTCTCTGCTAGCGAGAGCCAGAGACAGCTGCTTTTCTGTCGAACAATATTCTGTTTGTGAACATATCCGTGCCATTATTTTTTAATTAAAGTACCAATTTGAAACAATCTCAGAGACTCCATTTAGTCTCCTTTTAAGCTTCTCTCCTTTTAAGCTTCTCTCCTGGCCGCGATAATAACCAACACAGATTAACATACTCCAATTACTTGCATATAGACTCTTATTGCACTATTTCACTTTTTTAAACTATTTTTCTTTTTGTATTTACTTGCACTATATTTTTCTGTTGCTGTGTTATTGTGTTGCACTGTTGGAGAAGCCTGTGACCTAATATTTTTATCGGCATAACTACACTGTAGCTATGTTCGTATGACAAAATAAAGAACCTTGAAAAATGACACCTGAAAAAAAAACACCTGAATCTAGAGGGAAGGAAGTATCCATTGTAGTATATTGTTGTTATTTTCTTTCAGAACACAGGTCATGATGTGCAGGAAACAAAAGCAAACGAGGACAATACACCAGATGGTCCAGGAAAAACGACCTCAAATAACCAGTGTAACGGTCTGAGAAGTGTTTATATTTGGATGTTCATTTGTGTGCCTTGCTTATCAATTTATGATTTAGTAAATTTGAGTGTGATTAGACAATTGTAAAATGTAGATTATTATCTGGATAGCGAAATATAGAATGGTTCACATTTGGGATGTGGTCGATGAGTCCAGACCATGTCCAGGTCATGACCACAGTCAGGTCAGAAGGAATTGCCATGGCAACGCATGCCGTTGGCATAATCTACATGGTTCAATAGGCGCACACGGTAAATGTTTCTCTTTTGTGATATGTGTGTTAATATTTAGTGTGTGCTTTGATTTTGCAAATGTGTTACGATTTAATGTAAACTTTCAACTGTTCATTTCTTATAGTTTACACGTTGTCTTCTGTTTAGAGTTTTGAGAGGTCCTGATAATTTATTCCGGCAAATTATTCTGACCTCCTAATTGACCTTTCCGAAGATTATTGAGTCTATGTAAGTTTGCTGCGTGGCTCAGATCCACCAACGTCAGCAAGATCTCACCTCTACTAACTTCCCGAAGAACCAAGGTTCAATTAACTGCTGTTTCAATTCAGACAACTCTTTTTTAATCTGTTTAAGCGATCCCGAAGGATTTTGATATCAGTAAATGGAGTGTGCTCCTACCTAAGTGTGTGTGGCAGGGTGCAATCTTACCTTTGACGCAGGAGAGGAGGGCACAGGTGTCTTTTAAAGGATCCCAATCCAACAGGTGGGATTCAGTTTATTTGAAGAAAAATAGGTCCAAACTAATACAGGGTTTTTACCTTCTCTCTTTACAACATTATAATCATCCTAACAAAAAAACCGTGCTGTGATCATGTTCAAATGAAACTTTAATTCACAGTCTTACATTTATTACCAAAATGTTTTAATTTCAACTGCCCATTTCAGTTGTGACATTTTAAAATTCTCCCGATAGAATTTAGAGGTATTTCCTCGTAAAAAGACCGGTGACAATAAAAAGCGCATTCAACTTTTCATTCACCCATTTATTCACATCAGTTTTCATACACTTTTTCCGACACAGACGGCGGATTAACACTCAAAAACCCATTCCTATCCGCAAAATTCGAAGGAAGGTCCTTACAGGTCGCGGTATTTATAATTTTCAAACACTTTTTCCGACACAGACGGCGGATTAACCTTTCAAAAACCCATTCCTATCCGCAAAATTCGGGGGACCAGATTTTCCCCACAGGTCGCGGTATTTATAAAGGTTCATACACTTTCTCTCATCAAATCATTCCACTCAGCCAACAACCAATAAATTCGAGAGATATTTACCCCGTCTAGAAGGACCTTACCGAGAGCTATTAACCCAGCTCTGGAGCTTTTTACTCTCACCCCTGTCTTTTATGCACAAAAACCCCGATAATATTTTCCAAAACGCCTCTTCCACACCCACATCAGGAAAAACTGGGCATGGCTTCTACTGTACAGGGCTAAAAACATGACTCGACATGTTCCATAGCTTTATGGCCTAAACCACCCCCCCCCCCCCCTCCCTGGGTACTGCTGCCAGAGGAGAGAGAGAGAAAAACGGCCAATTCTTTTCACAGACACCCATATATCATTTTCCCCTACACACTCAACCTACACAAACCACTTTGTTTTGTTTATACTGTACTATAGAAAACCCTAAAATATGAAGCATGTTCATTGTGGGTTATACAAGAATATATTTGATTATATTTGATTATAACTAACTTTCGTTTTTAAGTATTAAACATGCTATGAAAACTCACAACACCCTCTTTTCAAAAACGCAAAGTTATCAAAATAACAACAGAAAAAATTATAAGCATACATTCATATTCAATCATTGTGGGTTATACAAGAATATGATTTTTTAATTAACTTTCGTTTTTTAAGTATTCACTTTATACTAGATCTCAACACCCTCTTTTCAAAACGCAAAGTTATCAACTAGTGACAGAACAAATTGTAAGCATATATTCGAAAAACTTCCAGCATCAAATAACATGAAAAGTTTTTCAGTAATAGAAATAAGGGCGCCTTCCGTTAATCCTGGGGTGGCCAACACTGAAAACATAATACCGCACCGGAATGTCCTTGAGGTCACCGAGGTCAGGTACCAGAGTAAACAGAGCCCATGGGCCGTCCTGATGAAGATAGATTTGTGTGAGCACCCCCACTCGGCCAGGCATTTTTAGGGTCGGGGGGCCTATCTGTTGTTTCAGTGTAGACTCCTCAATCCAAGTTGCCATCTGTTGTAAATCCTTGACCCTGACCATGGAAGAGTTGCAGTTTTTCCCTGGACGACATCTCCAAACGAAAGGCCAGACACCCTGGTCGACCATACAGTTGTCAGGTAGTCGTCGTCCTTTCTGGGAAATCCACTGCAATCTTAGTGGTTTTTTGGGCAAAGATGCACTCTGTCCTCCAGCACTCGAAGAATCGTCCTCCTCCTCTGTCGGGGTCATAGGTGACTCAGCCGCTGATCCATTCTGCACCGGTTTTCTGGTTTCAGGTATTGGTTTTATAGGAAACCCTGTGCCTGAAGAAGTTCCGCTTGGTAGATTCAATTCCTCTTGGTAGATCCCAGAGGTACTAATATCATCCATATAGTTATGATCATACACGTATGCGACCTCTGAGTCATTAATAATTGTTTCAATTGAAACAATTTCCCCCAGGAATCCTTCCAAGGGGTCTGTTACTCCAGGTTCCTCTATTGACAGCAAGGACATCCTTTTGGCTTGGGCACCCGGGGAGACCTCCGAATCAGATCGCTTTTTTCTCTTACGAGTCTCCTCCTTTTCACCGCTTGCCCCTTCCGGTCCTTCTGCACAGGAACTTTCGGGATGAGTCCCTTTAAATTGATCCGACAGATCAATCTCCTGTGGGTAGATAGATAATACGTAAGAGTATCTTTTCCTCTTAGATAAACTCTTCGATTACCAGGATTTAACACCACTACATAATCCTTTTTGTACACTAATATTTCCTCTAAAGCACAATATTCCTCTCTTGAGGGTGGACGGCATAATTTAACTTCATTCTGGGTCCTAGGCCAATTCTCCTGAGGTGTGAGAATAAAAGAATAAAAATCCTCTTCCACTTTATAGTCCCGAATTGCACATGAACTACAGAGGTAATTCCCTAGGATCCCCTTGATTATAGCCCGATCCACTTTACAACTTGTACACTGGTGCATGTAGACTCCAAGATCTTGACCTTGCCATTCTTTCTGTATATCAAAAATAGATGTAAGAACTTCCATTAGTCATTAGTTCTTATAGTATATATCTATTCTTATTTAGAAGGATATGCAACAAGTCTGTTTATAATGAATTCCTTGGACTATATCTCTTGCTGTTCAACCAGCTGTTAACTGTTAACATCCCTTCTTCAGCGAGAGGGTAAAAATGGAAAAAACTTATCATGCCCTAATGAACTTTTTTTTTTTTTTTTCCGTTCACGACATATTAGCCCTTACTTATGTACTCTGTGTAAATAAAAACAGTAAAAAACAAGAAATAATCGAAATTTGTAAAATTTCCATATAGGAATTTTCATCCTCGCCTCATTAAAGTATACAGATGATGATGGAGGGTATAATGCGTATAACACAACATTTTTTCAATATAACTGTTAAAAAGTAATAATAAAAGGAAAATAAATTTAATAATGGTCAATAAAAAGAATATAACAAGAATATTAAAAAACTTATTTTACCATTTCCTCCTTGAACTCAAGATTAATCCCTGAATTATCCTGGGGTTCCCTTGTGCTGGTTCCAATATTCATCATGTCCTGGGTTAAGTATTTTCTTAGTTTGATCCAAACGATGTTCCCTCGTCCTTGATTCTGACCAAAGTGATTATCTTGTGGTGGCCAACTGCCCTGTTAAAATAGAAAGTCCTAACGGCTTATCTTAAGAGTTACTACCGGGCCCCCCCCCCCCCCCCCCCCCTTAATTTTTTTGTGGTGTTAGGACCTCTCGTAAATCATCCTCGCAGAAAGAGACACTTCTTTTTGTTGTAGAGATTGGCTGTTTTAAGAATTTCATACAAGATTTTATGTCGTTCACCTGTTTTGGCCTCTCTCCCAACATCAATTCCTTCTTTGTTCTAGATTTGGTTTTATTCCTCCCTTTGCAAAGTTTGGGAAACAAAGAGGAAAACAACCTAAAGCCTATAACTCCAATTAATAGTGCAGCTCCTATAGCAAATGCATAACCGATACCCGTCAAAATGCTCCCAACTAAAGGCTGTACTATTCCCATTGTCAAATCCCTTGCAGTTGTTATTATCCCTGAAACACCTATTTTTATGCCTTGTCCTGTTGCATAAAAAATCCCTTTTACCAAATCCCAATCTGTTATTTCCCATCCCGATTCTCCGGCCCATATCTGAAAACAAAATCCAGTTTTTTGGATGAGATTAAACATTGGAAAATATATTCCAGTTATATCTGAATTTATGTTCGTATACCCAGGACTTTGTTCCTCTGTTACTTGAGGCCTTTTCCAGTCCGGGAACAAGGTTCCATACTTCAGCAAGCAGAGTTTTGTCTCCAACCACCTTATTTTCCCCAAAGTAATCATCTCTGGATTCATACCTGGCCAATTTTCTGTATCCTTTACTATTTCTGGACGCGCAAATTGTTTAGATCTGATGGGTTTTCTTATGGTTATATTTGAGTCCATGAAAGGGGATTGATCCATGCAGTAACTAACACAATTAGCACATTCTGTCCCATTTGTGAATCTGGGAAGTGATCTGGGCATCTTTCTGAAAGGTCTTCTCAAGAGTTTATTGTTACTAACTGTTCTTCTTAGTACATTATCTATCAACCAACGAGCTGTCTCGTGTGAACTTTGAGCAGGAAAATAGTCATAGCCATAACAGTAAGTTGTGTCTGTCCGTGTGCAATAATCAGTAGAATAATATCCATACCTCAAATCTGCACACCTGCCTATGGTAGAATACAATGCGTGTGGGTGGGCCATATAAGTGGCTATTCCTAAAACATAATTCTGGAAATGTTCTCCTATTTTGTTAGTTTGATTTGCTATTCTTACAAATGGTGCAGATATCCCTTCTTCCCCATGATTTTGAATCAAATTTGGTCTTGTATTTTTACCTGTTTTGCGAGTAAAATTCCCCCCTGATAAAATTCCCAAAACTTGGGTTATTAAAAACCGGGTCATGTTTCTATGCAGGGGCTCAGTTTGGGAGTTAAGAGCCAGGTTAGCGCAAATTGTGAAATTATGGATCTCCCCAACTGTCATTCCTCTGCCAGCATATCTAACTGTAGACCCACGATCAAATTTTATCATTTGCCACCTCAGTATATTTTCCTGCAAATCCTCCCAACAGGTGGATTTTCCCCATTTTCCACATTGCATTCTTTCTGTGTCCTTCACTCCTTCTGCAGTTTCGCAATATTTTTGACTTTTTGTTACGTTAGCTATTCTGCACATCGGGTAGAGACTATCATTCTCCATGCGAGTTGTCTGCATACATGTTTTTATTTCAGACCAAGTTGAGGCAAGATTATTTTTTAGCCAATTCTGAACTTTGATATTAACTATGTTAGGAACCCAAATGCAATGTTCTATTTTCCCACTGGGTCTAGATCGGTACACTAGCCATGGAATATTTTTCGGATAGGGTTTTAGACGTTGCCCATAGGTTGAAAATAATGTCCATAAAAATCCTTCTTTTATGTCCATGGTTCGTAAAGCACATCCCTCACATCTCTCTTCCAGAGAGTGAGTCGCTCTTCGGTATCTAGTTATTGGATTTTCATAGGAATCTTCAAAAAGTATCCTAGTTAAATCTCCAAATTCCGCAATCCAGTTTGCTGGATCAGATGAGGTCAAAACATTTTCCATAGTTTTAATGCCAACGTATTCAGTTGTCCTCCCTGTTGGATCCATTCTATAGGTATCATTTTTAGCATCAAAAGAACAGTTTTGATAATGTTTTAGCCTGTTGTCTGGGATTAAGGAAAACATATTATGTGAAGTCGAATTCCCTATGAAGCTATAACATGTGTGTGGGCCATACAAATCAGAATCCCTATGTTTATAAATTCCTTGAATTCTCTTGTTCTCTACCCAGATATCAAGAGCGATAGAGGATTTTTTTCTGTTTGGGCTGATAAAATTCCCAGAAAGTGCATCTAAACTCATCCAGTCGGTTTCACAAGTTTGGTTATTTAAGATTGAAGTCAGATTGTCTGTATTCATTATGTGCGCCCATCCAGCAGTGATGTCCGTTTTAGTGTTACACTTGCCTTCCTGGATGCATTTTTTAGTTCTCAAATCAGGGGCCTTTATTCCCCTGCTTTTCAGCCAAGATAAGAGGTTCTTTCTCCATTTCGTGTGATTGATCCCTATCTTGCTGTTTTTATGACCTGACAGTTTAAGGTCGCTAGTGCAAGGTATAGCTGTGTTAAGCCATTGAGTCTCCCACAGCATTCCTACTTGGGTTTTAGTGGTGAGATTATAGACTTGCCAGGTAGTTATCTGTCTCTGTTTGGTCGTAAACATAACCCCTCCTGTAATGATACAACTGCATAGTAGAATTATAAACAGTGCTTTTCCCCAACTAGCTTTGTGATACTTAGGGTTGTCTGGATCAGGTTTTGGTAGCAAAGTTGGATCCAGTGTTGATAAGGGTAATAAGGGAAGGTGTTTTTCAGGATCATCCTCCATTTCTTCCTCCCTCTTTTGATCCTGTAAAAATACAGAGAGGGAGGTCTGTTAGATTATGGCCCTAAGTATCCGCTGGTACCAGCACTCAGTAGGTTCAGGCACAACCAGTTCCTTTCTTAAAATTTGTGTGCGGGCTGTTCTGCACCTTCCGGCTGAATCACGACACATTGTTATTTTAAATTCCAGTTTATGATCTGGTCTAGACGCTTTTTGATCTGAGCAGTGGAGGGACTTTTTCACAACTAGCCAGCTGTAATTAGGATCAGACCGAGTAGACAGATTTGTAACCCAATCTATCTCCTTGTTCTGTGGTTTTGAGCATAATTTCAACGCCTCAACGCTAAATGGTTTATCCTCCAACATCTGCAATAGTACATTCTGGAGGGTTAGCCTGGTAACCTTTTTCACAGGTAGTAAAGGAAACAGCTCCCGTCTTTCGGGTGAGGGATGGACAAATAGTTTTTCAATCTGTTTTTGACAACCATCTCGGGAGGGAACACCATCAAGATGTTCGGGATATTGTTGTTTTATCATTCTCTGTAGGAGTGTGTCAATTTCTGTCAGATTTTTCATTGAGGGAAACATTCCCCAGTTTCCTTGGGGTCCTCTTCTAAAACCCAACCTTGCATGATTAAGGGGATGTAAGTTATTTTCACCCCTGGTGCACTGATTAGCTGCATATGCTTCTGAGGTAACAGCTTCAGAACATTTAATTAAACCTGCTTCAGATACCATGCAGCGGCACTTTCCCCGGAAATGTCCTGGGTGATTAACTCTGGTAATCACTGTTCTTAGTCCTATTATCAGATAGCAGTCAAGGCAGAAACACAGTCTGCACTGAGGGGGCCCTTCCACACCTGACACTTTTATGGGGTCGGGGGCTGGAAACAACCTTTTTGGTCTTTGCATAGCTTTTCCTTGCCACACAATCGCAGACATTGTTATCCCACATTCTGCACAGGAACCAGGTGTATATTTTCTCCATGTAAGTGGATGAATTCTCTCTTCCTTGACTGGGGCACAACCCTCCCAGGCAAGTTCCAAATTTTTACAAGATGACCCCACAAAAAGGCCATCCTCTCCTGAGGTAGAAAGCACATAAACTGCCACTGCATGTGCGCAAAACATGTCATCAGATGTGAGACTGATCTCATCAACAGTGGATGGGTAGGCTGCAGTCATATTTCTTATCTGGATTTTAATCTTAGTTGACTCGGGTGAACTGGCCCTCTCTGTTGGAGTGAAACTACGTTCCCAGAGACTGACTTCACTGTATCCAAACCTTCTAATGTTGTCATAAGCTGACCTTTCTCTGGACTGCGGCCTTTTCTGGTCACCCACACCTGATCCCCAACCTGAAATGGAAGAGGGTTGGCAGTTAGATATGCCTTTTCCTTTGCCCTGGGTAGCTTATCCATACATAGGAATAAGTTGAGCCTTGTCAAATTGATTGGAATGTCCCAATCCGTTTTACAGTTTTTGATGATCCACTCTTTCGCTGCTCTGACACCTCTCTCTGCCACCCCATTGGTTTGAGATTTATATGGTAACGACCAGATGGGTGTGATTCCATTATCCTGCAAGAGTGACAAAACTTTCTCATTTTTAAAGTGAGTCGCATTATCCATTCTTATTCTCTTAGTTTTGGAAAAATTACTGATATGTTCTGCCAGTTTAGCAGACACCGTGTTCCCTGTTGCTCGGGTCAGAGGATAGACATGTTTATGACTCCCTCCATTATCACAGATCACAAGGAAATACTTGTTCCCACTGGGAGTGCGGGTCGGAAAAGGACCTGCTATGTCAGCACTAAAACTGATTAGTGGTTCCTCCTCTATTATCTTAAGATGTTCAGGATGAACCTTTTTAAACCCATCCACCTCTGCACATTGAAGACATGATGAACGTGTGTGTTGTAGGTGCAGTTGCAGTTTTGGTATGAGGATTTTTTTGCTTAGACAATATTTTCTCATCCTAACTAGGCCTACATGGCCTAAACTGCTGTGTAGTTCGTCTACTACCTGAGGAGCGTTTTCAGGAGGTATATGAACACTTCCACCTTTTTTCCATATACTAGGAAATATGGCCGTCAGGTGGTTAACTCTTATCCTGCTTTGAGCAAGTGCATCAACTTCTCT